ACAGAGGCTGGATGGCCATCTGTCAGGGGTGATTTGAATGCAATATTCCTGCTTCTTGGCAGGGGGTTGGACTGGATGGCCCATGAGGTCTCTTCCAACTCTTTGATTCTATGATTCTGTGAAGGCTTTAAGGAGAGCCAAGCCTACCATTCAACCCTTCCTTCCTTCTGAGCCTCCAGCCTTCCTGGAGGCGTTGCCATGAGGTGGTGCTGGGCAAGGCATGAGGCTATGGGAGCCTGGGGCTTGGGCTGGGTCTTCCTCTTTGCCTGCCTCCTTCCCTCCCTCCCCTAGGCCTGTGCCCTGTCCCGTTCCCTAGCCTGGATTTCTCTATCTTCCCCACCACCCTTTTCCCTCTCTTCCTCTCCCGGTTCTGCTCCGGAGGGAGGGAGGCAGGCAGGCTTAGTGGGGGACAACCTGACGGGGTCGTTTTGCAATGTGTTGCTTGTGCATCCAGCAGATGGTGCTGTTTTGATGCCAAGCATGCTTTTACCTGTCACAAGTGTGACATCTATATAATAGTATGTATGTGAATACATAAAAACATTTACCTGTTCAAATTCTACATTGTGTCCAAAGTTCAAAGCAATCAGTTAAGTATTTTGGAAGATTTGAGGTCATTCACAAACTGACATTTACATTTTCATTTATATAGATGGTTTTCTGTGGGTGAACAGATGGTGACTACTGGATGGCATACGTTTTGTAACAGAAATGAGTACTGATGTGGTCTGTCTAGTGCAATTTTCTGAATCAGCACCTCAAATAACCAAACCGAATCTAAAGTTGACCAAAAACTGATCCATAACCCTTTTGGTACTAATGTTGGAGAGTGGCCCCTGGTCAAAGTGATCCCTGGACAAGGGATCCGTGGTCAAGTGATCCCTGGTCAAAAAAAAGGTTGAGAACCCACCGCTCTAGTCCCACAGAGCCAGTGATACAGTGCTTAGTGCACCACCTTAGGACTGCAGAGATCTGAGTTCACATCCCTTGTCAGCCATAGAGCTCACTGGGTGACAGTGGGGCAGTCATTCACATTGCAGTTTTGTTGTAAGGATAGAACTATGAATGATAGAACTGTGTTCTTGAGCTCACTGAAGGAAAGACAGGTTATGAATGCAATCAATAATTATCCTGATGGAGCTTTGAATCACCCTTAAATCCCACTAAACCCCTCAGACATCTCAATTTTGAAATTAAGATCTTTGAGTTACAGCCATCCATCTCCGTCTTGTCCTTTTCGTTGTGCAAAGAAACCCTTTTCTGTTGCTTCCTTGTTTCTCAGGCTATTTTCCGCAGCTGACTAGCGGACAGGCTTTAATATTTATAGGTTTGCACACTGGAGAGCCATAATAACAGCATGAAAAAATAATGATGGCAAGCTGTAATGATAAAATCTGCACGTCTCTTAACGGGCATACTTTTGCCAAGCGAAGGGTGCCTGAGCGAAGGGTGTTTTCATTGCCCTTCAAAAACGCACTCAGAGTGAAACTTGTAGCAGACGAATCAGTTGAGGTGCGTAAAGCATTGATCAGATTCAATGAGGTTTCAAAGCCTGTTTTTATTGATCAGAGTGGCTCCATATCAAGCTGAAAACCCTTTCCCAAAAGCAGCAGGTTTCCAGAGAGATGGTTGGCATTGTGTAAGCGGCCTTGGGGTTTTGTTTGTCTTTTTTAAAAAAAAATAATAATCACGAATCGTATTTATCTTTGAGCTGTTACTGTACTTTTGAGCAAGAAAGGCAGAGCTTGAAAAGGTTATGTATAATAGGCTGCCCTTTTTGCCATATCTATAAAAGAAGTTTTTGGCAGCAGAGGCCTTGAGATGTAGCTCTCCCGCCATCCTTTCATATCTCCCTATGCGTACCTACTCATTGCTCTATTTTGCGAGTGCACAGCTAAAATTATCCAAATGCAACACAAGCTGGGTGACAAGATTGCATTGATTTGCAGAGGGCTTTTTTAAAATGTGGGTATTTGTTGGCAGGATGTCAAGTAGATATAGTACAATTGCTGGCACAGCTTTGCCATCTGTGACCCAAGGAGACAGCTGAGCTCTTTGAATAAGACTGAGGTGAAGTGAATTGACGGCGGGATAGGATTGTTCCTTAGAATCTGGAAAAGCACATCCTAAAATTTATGTCACCATACAATATTCTACAAAGATCTGTTAGCTGGTTTTGTGTCTCAGAAGCCTAGGCTTGAGCTACATCTTGGAACTTCTAAGGACTGGTCACAGTTTAGTCCTTGGGAAGAATAGCAGATGACATTTCAAGGAGAGGTATGATAGCTAATGTGATATACGTACAGGAATAATGAACTTATATTCATGTGCAAAAGTTTCATTCATTGAAAAGTTCACATCATTTCCATACAACTGCTTCCTAGGCTGCAAGCAAGAGTCCATTCCACGTAACAATGTCTTGAGCTTTAAATAGACTCTTCTCTCTAATCACCTTGATATGAATGGAAAATTTCTTCCCTTCCATGGTCACATTTCATGCCCAGACCAGAGGAAACAAGATGTGTGTTGGGATATTTTCATATATAATGTGTCCTCTGAAGTACTTTGGCCACATCATGAGGAGACAGCAAAGCCTAGAGAAGACAATTATGCTGGAGAAAGTGGAAGGTAAAAGGAAGAGGGGCCAACCATGGGCAAGATGGATGGATGGCATCCTTGAAGTGACTGGACTGACCTTGAAGGAGCTGGGGGTGGTGACGGCCGACAGGGAGCTCTGGCGTGGGCTGGTCCATGAGGTCACGAAGAGTCGGAGACGGCTGAATGAATGAACAACACAACAAATGTGTCCTCATTCCTGCTTAGAGAAGAACAATGAATTATAGGCCCCTTCCACATAGCTTTATAAAAGCCACATTGAACTGGATTATGGACTCGGATAACCCAGTTCAAATCAGATATCATGGGTTATCTGACTTGATGTTCTGGGTTGTATGGCCCATGTGGAAGGGTCCATGGTTAGTTAATTCAGGAAGTCTTCATTTATAGTGCACCAAGGAGGACAGGACATTAGGAAGAACTTCCTGACTGTGAAAGCTGTTCAGCAGTGGAACTCTCTGCCCTGGAGTGTGGTGGAGGCTCCTTCTTTGGAAGCTTTTAAACAGAGGCTGGATGGCCATTGGTTGGGGGTGCTTTGAATGCGATTTTCCTGCTTCTTGGTAGGGGGTTGGATTGGATGGTCCACGAGGTCTCTTCCAACTCTATGATTCTATGATTCTAGGTGAAAGCAGAAGAGTCAGGTATTATCTTAGGCTGGCTCTATGCTGCTATATAATCCAGATTATCAAATCAGATAATCCACATTATCTAATTTGAACTTGATTATATGAATTTACACCACCATGTAGTCCAGTTCAAAGTAGATAATCTGGATTTTATATGGCAGTATAAATGAGACCTAAGATAAATAAGACAAGATATAGGAATAGGCTTTGGCCCAGTGCCTATGGAAACTTTAAGGACAAAACTATATTTGCTTTTCAACCACCTGTTATTTCAACCATTTTTAATGATCTCCAAAACATTTGATTCATGGTCCCCTGTTTTGTCATTTAAAATTCAACTAAATTAAAATTCAACCAAATTAAAATAAACCTGAATTAAAATGAAAATGTGATATAGGTTTCACATCTCAGTTCTGGCTTTTGACTGTGCTGTGGTTCCTCACCTGTTCAATAAGTGGAGGACAACTGTACTTGCTGGTGGAGTTCAGATGGAGAGGGAAAGCTGGGGAGGAGCTGCACTTGCCAGGGATAAGGAGCTCTACTGGATGCTTGAAACTTTTGGGACAGTACATATGTGTCTAATTTAATATATAATTTGATGTTGTTGTTGTTGATGATGATGATAATAATAATAATAATGGGACTTAGATTGCAATCATGTAGTCATGTCGGCCACATGACCTTGGAGGTGTCTACGGACAACGCTGGCTCTTCGGCTTAGAAATGGAGATGAGCACCACACCCCGGAGTCAGACATGACTGGACTTAATGTCAGGGGACAACCTTTACCTTTACCTAGATTGCAATAGTATTTGCAATATTCTGTTTATAGTTTGCCCCGTGGACCCAGAAAGAGGTACACGAGCATGCTGATTTCAGGAGGGATACGTTTTTTTAAAAAAAAGTATGGGGACAACAAGGAGTATTTTAAAAAGTTAAATCTCCATCCTGCAATCTGAAATCATACAGACCTTGGAACATTTTCTACCTCTTCTCAGTTTATTCTTCTGTGCACATATAGCAGTGCCATAAGAACTTGAGACAGATGTCCAGGTCCCTGTGTAGCAGAATGAGCAGGAGGGTCCCAAAGTACAGCATGGTTGGCTTACCACATTTTAAAGTAAAGTCTAAAATAACCTGCCTCCCCTTAATAGGACCATTCAATCCAAAATAGGAAATTGCTGAACTACAATAGTGCTGTCAGCAAATGTTTAAGGCTTCAAGAGCAATTAAGGGACAACCAGCAAGTACAATGTCTATCTGGAAGGCCTTTTTCTAAAATATTGTTTGTAAAGGGAATTGATATTGCTGTGTGCATACTGCAATTTGTGCATGTAGAGAAAGTGGTACAAAGTAAAGAATTATAAATAATTCCCCAGAGGGCTAGTTCTTTGGCTCAAGAAATGTCCAGAGCTTTAATAATACCATTTATGGTGTTTCACTCTGTTTTTGGCATTGTGTAACCATATAGCATTTCTGTCATCCGGTTGAATAGTAAAAGTTATCATACACCAGATGGGCAACATGTCAACATTTTGGCATGGCTCATAGTGAGGTAGAATGGATTTTTTCTTGATTTGAAATACTACTGTTACTGATGATGATGATGATTATTATTATTATTATTATTATTTTATAATGCTAACATTGACATCTAGCATTACTCTTATTAGTAATTTCAGAATAATTCACAGCATAATGATTGTTGGAAGTACAAGGTGATACTGAATTGACTCATATTTTCTATTCTCTTAACAGAAGAAACGACATTTGAAGCAGGAGTCAAAGTCCAGATCCACAGTCAGTCTGAGCCACCCTTTGTTCAGGAGCTTGGGTTTGGCGTGGCACCTGGGTTCCAGACTTTCGTAGCCACGCAAGAGCAAAGGGTAAGTCCTGATTTCTTTGCATATCTTGGCTTTATTGCTTCTAAACCCAGAATTACCGAAGGATCTGACCCAACCTTAATTACTTATGTGCTCCCTAAGATTGGACGTTTTGGGCACACAGCCCACTCTTAATTTTGTGGCCTGTGAATGTTGACTAGAAATGAACTTAATGTATGAAAAATTATTTATTTATTTACAGCATTTTTATCCTGCTCTTTTCAGCCCGAAGGCAACTAATGGCGGCGAACAGATTGGCAATAATTAGATGCCATAAACATACATACATATCAATTAAAACATTTAATATCACATGATAAAAATCCATATAAAACCAATTAAAACTATATTAATTAATGTCTACCAATTTGGGCCACGCTCAAGTTTTAGATAATTAGGATCATCAACCAGGCACACACAGAAAAAGAAATACATCTTTGAATCTTGCACCATCAAATCCTTTGCCCACACATACATTGCAGTATCATAGTCCTCGGGCAGACAGGTAAGATAAGTCCAGTTCCAGTTAGGAGCAATTATGTTTGGTGTGAAAACGGTAGAGTTGAAATGTTACTTCGCTCTCTGGATTGAATGAACCTTTGATAGTCATGAAAATTGCACATCTGTTGCAAGAAGGAAAGAGAGAATCACATGGCAGCTGGAGATGCAGATGAGATCCATGAGAGGCCTTGACAAGGAACATAAGGAAAGGAGGATAAGAGCACCAGAGAGGAGACTTTTGAGGTGAAGAGAGTGGGAGGAAAGAAGCGTGAAAGAAGGCTATGGCTGATGAGCCTTTGGGAGGAACATTGAGCTGCTCAGTTAGAAGGAATTGCTACTTTGGCATGCTGATGATTTACAAGATCAGTTGTCATGGCCAGAGGATACCAGTACATGCCAAACTGTGCCATTCCACACTGCTGAGCATCCTGACTGAGCCTTGGACTTTTGTGTTGCAAGGCATTTTACTTGGCTTGCGTGCTGGTCATTTGAGTTAAAGATTGGCCATTCTGATATTTTTTGCCTGTTGGGTTTTGTGTGGGTTTAAAATTTTGTATCAATATCCAAGAAAGACCGGGAACCCTTCAAAAGTTTCCTGGAAGAAAAGAAAATTCTGATATGGGGATTTCATGTTTAAAATGTTAATCTATTACATCGTATTCTACACAAATAAAAATTGTATAACTTGTTTATAGTCTGACATTCAGCCCAGATCTCACAGAGAACAACTAGTATTTCAAATGAAAAATGCCATCCATTTTGTAAAGTGTTTATGAATATTGCTATCAAGGCTGTTACCTTAAACTGATGGGTTAGGGATCATGGTGAAAACGAGAATGTCATTGCTCTGCTATAAATCTTAATTGGTTTTATATTGTTTAATGAATATAACCGTTTATGCAAGAATTCGGAGAACTGCAGTTTTTAAAAGATAATCGGAATTCTGTGTCTGTAGAGAGAAAGGAACTCTTTGATAACTTCTTGTGCAATTGACCTGCTTATAGTGTGGAATATTTTTAGGGATGGGATCTGATATTTGTTACTCTCCCAGATTTTCCTGCTACATCTTTTTTCTTTAATATTATGGTATGAATTAATAGTTGACCACCTCCGCCCACCAATCAAGAAGCTCTGTAAGTTTCTAGTCCAGCTAAAACTTAGGAAAGTATGTTCATGTGTGCGGTTCAATCTGTTGTTAAAGCTGTTTCGTACTATGTACAATCACTTTTTTACATGGAAAAAACAGTTATGAAGTGAATGAGACCTCTGGTTTGGAACAGGTGAAAAATTAAGTTCATGTCATTTTTATAAGATTTTCTAAAATTGCACATTTCTTTCTAGTAGAACAAATTTGGGATTCAGCAAAATGAGAGAATCCAAACTAGTAGATTCGAATTAGTGAATTTGATGATTAAAAATCAGCTTTTCCAACTCCGATTTGATGGTTCTATGTTACTGCTGAATTGAATCCATTTTGTCTGAAAGGTTCTTCATCTTCTAACATATGAGTGGCAGGAAATGCTATTCATTCTGGGAAGAGTTCCACCTGGCTGGGGCAAGTGGAGACGATTTTTGTATTCGTTTTTTAAAGAAATTAACAAAATACGCAAATCTAATGGTCTAAAATGTGAATGCAGGAAAAGGATTTCTGACCAGTACTTACTATATAGAGAGCTTATATAGACAGTCCTCTCGGGGAGATAATAAAATATTAATATTATATTATTATATTACTTTTTGGCCTACCACTCCCACAGTCCTCATTGCTATGCTGACTGGGAGACTCTGGGAGTTACAGTCCAAATAACAACTTGTCCTGACTGATTTCATTAGAAAGCAATTTTCAAACCCTTGTATTGAAAAAGAAATGACCCAAAGTGTAGGCTTTGTGGACAAATGCCTCCAGTTTCCCATGCTCACTTTGAACTGAGCAACATCTAGATTCCTTGCCTTCTTGCCTGGCTAAGAGGAAGACTGAAGCAGGAGTAAGTAGTGTCTGGACCAGTCATGGGCAAACTTCAGCCCTCCGGGTGTTCTGGACTTTCAACTGTTAGGAATTGTGGGAGTTGAAGTCCAAAACACCTGGAGGGCCAAAGTTTGCTCATGCCTGGTCTAGACTATGAGCTCGCTCACTGGGAATGTCTGCTGTTTTCTGCTGTCCCAGCACCACTTGTCCTTATTGTTTTTTGGGGGTGGGGGGATACAAAGATGTCGCCCACACAGTGGCTGTGCATGGCTTCCCCCAGCCAGATACTTCATCCACCACCTACAGACCCAAGCAAACCTGCCTGCATGGCAAAGAAATCTCAGGCAATATTTATGAACATTTTGTCAGGTTACACAGCTGTGACTGCTACAAGGAACAAGATAACTGTGAAGACAAAGTCTTCTGTTCAAAATCCTGCTCTCTAGGATCAATATGGTATGATTGGTTGGCACTGTGTTCTTATGAAAGGAATCACCGTGGCTGGAAAAGTCTTTCTTCCAGAGCTCAGATGCTCCTCATTATGTTGCCCAAGGCGGGCATGTTAAAGAAGATGAAGCAATCCCTAAAACACCCATTTCTGCCGATTTGGCCATAAAAATTTAAGGGCCTTCAATTATGCAACAGGTTAGCGATGCTATGGTAATATTAGGTAGGATGGCTGAATGGTGCCTCAGAGACTCGTCCCGTGAAATGTTCGCTCAGGGTGAAGAGAACGGAGCCATGAAATCAAAAGACAAAAGCATCTCTGGATGCTGGGGCCTCGTTTCCTTTAAAAAGATAATAAATTCAAAACCCCCCCCCCCCCCCAATCCAGAGGAAGCCTGATGTGATATGCAGGACTCTCTTAGTTCCTAAAAACAGAGTTATCTGGTGGAGGAGGAAACAGGGACAGAACTGTCAGAACTTACTAAAGTTCCTTTGAAGGATGACCGCTACTAGATTCTTCACCTCCCATCCACCAGCTTGGTCAGCAGTTGTTGTCCAGTAAATTAGTTCACCCAAGCTTCTCACAGAGGATGCAGAATCAGACAGAACAATGGATGACTGCGTGTTGAATGAGTGGAGTGAGAAAGAGGTGCTTTAAAAAATTCTAACAGGCAGAAATGGGAGGGAGAGCCTGTCAGCTGCGGTTTTGCAACCATCCTCTTCACTTTCCATTTAATTGTTGTTGATGTGTGCCTTCAAATCCTTCCTAACTTACAATGACTCAAAAAATTTCCTTGGCAAAATTTGCCTTTGCCTTCTCTTGGGCTTGAGAGAATGTGACACATCCAAAGTCACTTTGGGTTTCTGTGACCGAACATGGGTTCAAATCCTGGTCTCTGTGGCCCTATTCCAATGCTAAAACCATTGCAACACACTAGTTGAGAATCTCCTAAAATGAGACCACTGCAGCATTGAAGGTTTGGAGAGATGTCAAGCTTGAAAGATATCCCAAAAAAGAAAAATCTTCTTTGCACACAGGAACCAAGCCCGAGTCCATCTCTCAGGCACGAAATATTTGAATCTGCAGGGAGATATCTCAGCCTGGGGAAAACACTCAAACATGCATTTGCCATCTTACAGCCTGGGATGTTTCAATCTCAGGAAAGCATTACCACCTTCAGTTCTGTCCTCTGTGTGAACTAGTTGTACAGCCAAACCAATTTCCTTAACACATGATATTAAATCCCCCATAGAAAAAAGAAGTGTGAAGGGAGCAAATTCAAAAGAACAGTATAAGCGGCCCTCCTGGGAAGACAGTTTGGTAGAAAAAGAAAAGTTGCTTCTGATTGCTTGGCACCGGAAATGGCAGCCAGAGTGACAAGCTGCAAGTGGCATAAGGGACAAATTTTGGCTGTCTTAAAATTGTTGAAGCAATCCTGTGATTCTTTCCATGTCTCATTAATGGACACAAGTTTCTTACTGTTATTTTATTTTGGAACTATCTTTGCACAGGCAAACAGCTCATTTCTGTCACTCAGCCATGGCAGCATGCTGAAGACACTGTGGTTGCTTACTTCCCTTTCTCTTGGTGAGATAGGGCAGGATATAAGTAAAATTATGATTATGATTATTATTATTACTATTACTGTTAATCTCTACTAGATCAGAACCACAAAATCAATTGGATTTACTTATTTGACTATGTAATTTACAAAGTAGCCCTTTTTGCTCTTTCTGCAAAAAAAAGATCAGTATATAAAACTGCTATCTACTGCCGAGGTTAACTGGACCCTCTCCCAAAATGTACTTTAATTATTGTTAGCTTGCATTGTATTTGCTGTGGAAGCAGATTATTGTTTCTGATCAGAGTAATCTGCTGACCAGCATCTTTGGTGCCTGTTACTCTGAGGGTACTATTGTGCGCATGTGGTACTTTTTGTCATGGCCTTGGACCTGTACAATAAACTATTTTGATTTTGACTTATGTGTTGAAACACTAAATACTTTGGGGGCAAGAGTGCCCTGAAGTTGTTGTTGTTGTTGTTGTTGTTGTTGTTATTATTATTATTATTATTATTATTATCTATAT